AACAGACTTTTTGCGTACTTGAAAAACGAAATTTTTTTTTCAGTTTTCGGGTGTTTCAAGGAGGATGGGTTTCAATTTTGAAGTTCAACAGTTTTCAGCTAAAAATTCGTAAAATTTAAACCTGAAATTCAAAATTGAAACCCTTCTTCCTTGAAACACCCGAAAACTGAAACAAAAAACGTTTTCCAAGTACGCAAAAAGACTATGCGTACTTGGAAAACAAAATACTATGCGTACTTCGTTTTCCAAGTACGCAAAAAAAGTATGCGATTTAACTTGGACTGTGAAAAAACAAAATCTAAAAACAAATGAAAAAAATGTTTCAGAAAGAAAGATAACTTAACAAATTACAGAAAAACTTTCAATTAAAAAATAGATTAAATCAGAAATTGAGAACAAAATTTTCTGAAAACATTTTGTCGACTTGGTTCTTGCTTGCTAAAAGATTATCAATGCTTACTTGACGATGTTTATGAAGCTCAATCGAGACAACTTAAATAGTTTTTTTTGTGTTTGTATCGTATTTCAACATTTTTTTGAGTAACCTCTTTTAAAAAAAATTTTTTGATCGATTCCCTCCTTCTTTGCTCTATTCGGCATTATAATCCACTGCTCTAGTTGTCTTTCGCAAGGTTATGCGTACTTCACATAAGCCCCAAATTATTTTGTTCAGAGCAAAGCGCTGAATGTTCTGATAGCCCCTTGCTGGCCTCGAACTTTTTTTGCAAAACAAATCGATCAACTACAAACCTTGAACTGGATTGTCATTTTGTCAGCTTCCAAATTTTTTCGATGCTCGTCATTGTGATGCGGAAGAGACGAAAGAGAAAATGGCGGCATGTTTTCACGAGAGGAGCTCGGATGACTACTCTGAACTGCTCGCTTCCTCGAAAGATTCACCGAAATTGCTCTTGAGTTATGCTCATCATTATGCAAGACATTTACACTGATGTTTTTGTCCATTTTTCTGTAATTTATATCTAGGATCTTCACTGATGTTGGATTTGCAAAACTTTTGTCAAAAAACTGTAGACTTCAAAATTTCAATCAAAGAATGCCTTATTCAGGGCGGATTTGGGGGGGGAGAGGGTCTGACGTCCTTTCCTTTTCGGATTCAACGCCCTGACGACACAAAAGGGTCTCCCTTTGTACTATTTTGACATACCCATTTTTGGCTGACTGACCCTAAAATTTTTCTAACGGCGCCATCGGCGCCAAAGCTAGTTTTGAGGGGATAGAGCGCGCGCCAAAAATAAAGCAATTTTTGGTACAAATTTTCGTTATTCTTGAACTTCAAATATTGAATCAGTTTTTTTTAGTAATCCGTACTACTTCTAGGGTAAACGGGTATTCTTTTAATTTCAGGAGATTGCTGTTCAACAATTTGGTCTTGGGTAGCTTGAGAATTACTCAAATGGGGTTTATTTTGCATATATCTTCGTCGTCCTCTTCCTAGCCCTCTTCATTTATACACTACCTGTAAGAGAAATAGGAAAACAGAAGCAACTTTTGGCAAATTTTTTTGATTATTTGTGTATAAGGGAAAAAAGATTTTGAAAAAAGAAGATTTTGAAAAAATTTGAAAAAAAAGATCTTTTTTATTACATCCTTTTTTCAATTAAGAATAACATGTTTTTTTTTGGTGCGTGCTGCTCCAAAGCAGATGCTAGTTTTTGGAAAATCTCACTTTTTGGTGAAAAAAAATTCTGTTTTATATCTATAATTCAATTTTGGATGCTTTGAGCATAAAACTAAAATGACGAAATTTGATTTCAGGGAAACATGCTGAATGCCATCATGAA